TGGGCTTCATGCTGCAGCTCCTCAGTTACTGCACAAACACCGCGATTTATGCCGTGACCCAGACTAAGTTCAGACTGCAGCTGAAGAATGTGCTGAAATATCCCTTTACCCAAAATCGTCAATCAATCAAATTCACTCACTAAATAATCCATTTTCAGGATATTTTCATTTCAGTTCAATGTTTCAGCAATGAAGCAGCGGGTCACCTATGCAACAGACTGAGGGTGATGCTGCTTTGTCCAACCTTATTCCCCACAGGGTGACAGGAACACATTCCAATGTTCGTCTCAACTCAGGGGGCAGTGAGAAAATGCATCATTCCACTGACTGTACCTGTAGCTTCAATTTGTAAATAATAAAAATGTCCATTAAAATGTATCAAGCAGCAGAGTGAACTTTCTTGTTGTTTGTCTTTGTGTTGGAGAAGCTGAGCTGGAGAGACAGACTTGGCCCCAAGTCCTGGTCCTCAGGGAAGGGGAGGGGGCCGGGGCCGTGCTCAAGAGTTGGATTTAAGTCACTCTGTCCTTGCTTTCACCTCTGGGTCACCCACTCTGGCAGAATCCATCTCTCTCTCTCTCTCATTACCTCTCCCTCCATATCTCCCTGCCACTCTCATAATGTCCGTCCCTCTCATCCCTCCTCCGTTGTTCATGCTTATTTTTCCAATGTCCTTCCCTCCCCCATTCTCATTCACAGTCTCTCACTCCTGCACATTCTCCACCTGCCAAAGTACCTGTGTTCCACTTGACTCACACCCTGCATATCTTCTGTTACTAGGACAACAGAGTACGTTTTGGTTCATAGGCCGTTGAGAGGGCAACAGATTGGGGATGGGTTCAGAAGACCATGGCTAGTGGAACAGAATGGGGATTGTTTCAAAGCCATTCTGAGAAAAACAGAAGGGAGATAGATTCATTGGCCATTGCTCGGGGACCATATTGGGGATGGCTTCACAGGCTCTTGCTAGGAAAACAGAGTGGGGATGGGTTCACAAACCGTTGCTAGGGGAACATGTAGCGTCGGTTCATAGGCCGTCACTTGAAGAAGAGGCTGGTAATGGGTTCGCAGGCCATTCTAGTAAAAGAAAGAGAGGAGATGGGTTCAAAGCCATCGCTAGGAGAAAAGCATGGGGATGGGTTCACAGGCACTTGTTAAGATATGACAGTGGGGTTGTGTTCACAGGCCGTTATTGGGCAGCCGACTGGGAATGGGTTCAAAAGGCCGTTGCTATGGCAACAGAATGGGGATGCATTCATAGACTATTGTTCAGGTGTACAGACTAGGGATGTGTTCATCGGCTGTTGCTTGGAGAACAAAACTGGGACAGGTTCACGGGACATTGTTAGGCGAACAGACAGTTGGTGGGTTAACAGGTTGTTGCTCGGAGCTCAGAACAGGGGATAGGCTCTAAGCCATTGCCAGGGGAACAGATTGGGTGTAGGGTCACAGGCCATTGCCAGGGAAAAAGTGAGTATGGGTTCACAGGCCGTTGTTTGGTGTATAGAGTGGGGATAGGTTCATCGGCCCTTGCTCGGCGAGCAGACGTGTAATGAGTTCTACAGGCCGTTGCAAGGAGATCAGAATACAAATAGGTTCACAAGCTTTTGCAGGGGACCAGAGTTGGGATGTGATCACAGGCCATTGCTAGGGGAACAGGGTGGTCATGGTTCACAGGCCATTGCCAGTTGACAAAAAAGGGATGCGTTCAAAACTATCACATGGGATCACCGGCAATTGCTAGGGGAACAGAATGGGCATAGGTTCACTGGCCGTTGCTAGGGGAACACTGTGCGTATCGTTCACAGGCCGTGGCGCGGGGAACAAAGTGCAGGAAATGGATTCACAGGCAGTTGATTGGAATGGAATGGTAATGGGTTCACAGGCCATTGTCGCGGGGACAGTGTGGGGATGTATTCATAGGCCGTTGCCAGGGGAACAGTGTGGGGATGGGCTCTCAGTCCCTTGCGAGGAGAACAGATTCGAGTTGGGTTCTCAGTCCGTTGCAAGGGGAACACAGTGGGGATGTGTTCACAGACCATTGTTGGGGTTCAGAGTTGGAATGGGTTCACTGGCAGTTTCTAGGGGAACGTAATGGGGCTGAATTTACAGACAATTATTACGAAAACAGAATGGGGACGGGTTCAAAAGGCCGCTGCCAGGAGAACAGAGTGGGGATGAGTTCACAGGCCATTTCAAGGGAACAGAATAAGGACGTGTTCACAGGCCATAGCTCGGGGAACTGACTAGGCATGGGTTCAAAGGCTATTGCTAGGGCAACTTTTGGGGTAGTTTCACAGGCCATTTCTCGGCGAACAGGGTGGGGATGAGTTCGCAGGTCATTGCCAGGAGAACATAGTGGGAATGGATTCACAGGCCATTGCGAGGGGAACAGTGGGGGTGGGTTCACAGGCTGTTGTTAGGGGAACAGAGTGGGGACAGGTTCAAAGGCCGTTGCTAGAACATAGTGGGGATTGGTTTACAGGCTGTTGCCAGGGGAACAGGGTGGGAATGGTTTCACTCGCTGTTGATAGAGCAGCTGTGGGGATTGGTTCACAGGCTGTTGTTCGGACGAAAAAAGAGAATGAGTTTAAAGCCTTTGCGAGGAGAAAAGAGCAGGGATGGATTCACAGGCCTTTACTTGCGGAAGAGTGGGGATGCGTTCACAGCCCGTTTCTGGGGGAACGGAGTGGGAATGGGTTTACAGCCGGTTGACAGGCAAAAAGATTGGGGATGGGATCACAGGATGTTGCTTGGGGAATAGTGTTGGTACAGGATCAAAGATTATTGCTCGTGGAAGAGTGTGGGGATGGGTTAAACAGGCTGCTGCTCGGACAGCAGAATAGGAATGGGTTCTCAGGCTGTTGCCAGAGGAACAGAGTAGGGATGGGTTCAAAGGCATTGTTAGAAGAGAGGTAATAGGTTGAAAGCCATTGCCAGGAGAACACAGTGAGGATGAGTCCACAGGCCATTACTCGGGGTATAGAGTCGGGAAGGAGGTCACCGGCCGTGTGATGGGTTAACAGGCTGTTGCTCAGAGATCAAATTCATTACTAGGTTAACAGAGTTTCGATGGGTTTAAAGGCCATTGCTCGGGGACCACAGTGGGGATGAGTTCACACAGGTTGTTACTAAGGGTACAGAGTGGGGACAGGGTCACACTAGGCGAACAGATGGGAGATGGGGTTACAGGCAGTTGCTCGTAGATCAGAATAGAAATGGTTTCACAGGCGATTGCCAGGGGAACAGAGTGGGAATGGGTTCAAAGCCATCGCGACGAGAACAGAGACAGAATAGGTTCAAAGCCATTGCAAGGAACAATGAGTTTGGATGGGTTCTCAGGAGTTTGCTTTGGGAAATAGTGTGGGGATGGGTTCACAAGCCGTTGGTAGGGGAACAGAATGGGGATGACTTCACAGGCTGTTGCTCAGGCAACAAAGTAGGCATTGATTCTCAGGCCATTGTTCGGGGAACAGTGCCAGGATGGGTTCCCAGACTGTTTCCACGAGAAAAGTGCTGGGATATGTTCACAGGCCCTTTTTGGGTAATAGATTGGGGATGGTCTCAGAGGCTGTTGCTGTGGGAATAGAGGAGAGATTGGTTCACAGACGGTTGCCAGAAGAACGGGATGGGGATGAGCTCACAGGTGGTTGCAACATGAACCGAGTGAGGCCGTTTCTAGTGAAACTGTGTAAAGACATGTTCACGGATCATTGCTCGAGGAAGAGTGTGGAAGATATGGCAGGCCGTTGATACGGGAACAGGATGGAGTTAGGGTCACAGGCCGTTGCTCAGGGAACAGTTTAGGGATGGATTCTCAGGCCGTTGCTACGAGAACAGAGTGGGGATGGGTTCACAGCTTGTTGCGAAGAGAACATTGTGGCGATGTGTTCAGAAGTCATGCCAGGAGAACAGAGTGGGGATGGGCTCACAGGCTGTTGCTACGGTAACAGGATGCAAATGGGTTCATATGCTATTGGGAGGGAAACTGAGTTGGGATGGGGTCAGAGGTCATGCTAGGGGAACAGATTGGGAATAGTTTCACAGGCCTTTGCTAGGAGAACAGAGTGGGGATGGGTTCACAGGCGATTTCAAGGGAAACAGAGTAAGGATGTGTTCACTGGCCATAGCTCAGGGAACTGAGTAGGGATGGGTTCAAAGGCCATTGCTGGGGCAACTTTTTGGGGTAGATCTACTGGCCATTTCTCGGAGAACAGTGTGGGGATGGGTTCGCAGGTCATTGCCAGGAGAACATCGTGGGGATTGGTTCACAGGCTGTTGTTAGGAGAACAGATTGGGGGGGGCGTTGCTGGAGAACATCGTCGGGATGGGTTCGTAGGCTATTGCAAGGAGAACATAGTGGGCACGAGTTCACAGGTTGTTGCCGGCGGATCAGAATGTGGATGAGTTCACAGGCCGTTGTGAGGGTAACACAATGGAGATGGGTTGGCAGGTCGTTGCTAGGGGAACAGAGAGGGATCGGCTTCACAAGCTATTGCTGGGGGAACGGTAGGGATGTGTTCACAGGCCGTTGCTAGGAGCACATAGTGGGGATGGGTTCACATGCCATTGCCATGAGAACATAGTGGAGACGGGTTTACAGGCCGTTGCCAGGAGAACATAGCGGGCATGTGCTCTCAGGTTGTTGCTAGTGGATCAGTTTGTGGATGGGTTCACAGGCCGTTGCTAGGGCAACACAATGGGGATGAGTTCACAGGCCTTTGCTGGGGGCACAGAGTGGGGATGGGTTCACTGGCTGTTGCTAACCTGTAAAGATAAGAGAAGTTATCACTGTCAGTACAGGATGGAATTAAAACAATTCCGGTCTATATGGAATATCGTTTCCTCTTTTGTTTCCCAACCTGTTTATCCCAGTCCCACATACTCTTCTTTCTCCCTGGGCTGAAATCCAAACTCATCTCTTTATTTACTTCCTCCACATCAAGGTTTCCTTCTCAATTCTGAGCATGCCCAGAGCACAGTCCACTTTTGCACGATTACACTGGCCTCTGAATGTCAGAGCAGACCAGTGCACAGGCGCAGGGCTGTACTTCATGTGTGAAGAGCATGTGTAATGTGACCCCATCCCACCAGTTAGCCTCGGGGCTTCCCCCTCCTTTCCTGGAGATATTAGTTAGTTGTTTAGTGGGAAGGAGATTGAGGGTTCAGGTGGGTCTCAGACAAGATGAACTCAGAGAGACGTCTAGGCCCGAAATGTCAGCCTTCCTGCTCCTATGATGCTGCTTGGCCTGCTGTGTTCATCTAGCTCTACACCTCGTTATCTCAGATTTTCCAGCACCTGCAGTTCCTACTATCTCTGAACTCAGAGAGAGCTTGAGGGGAGAGAAATTAGTGAAAGATCCAATGTCAGGGCCTAGATGAAGTGAGACTTCAGAGAAGGTTTTGTCCAGTGAGTTATCGAAAGCTTTTTTCCTTCCACAGTTAAATGCCAATGATAATCAGGTCCTGATGATTCCACTGACTCTGTTAGAACTTGTTTTCAGATCCCGGTCTGCAAATTATTCTCAATTAATATCCTGCAAAACAAATTCATGAAAAAACTATCACGGTCAGACCAAGACTGATATCTAGAAAAGACAAACACTATCTTGGTTTCAGTTTGCTGTGTGCAAGTCCCCCTCTTCAAATCTCCCCAACACGAACACACAGAAAGAAATCTGTGCATGCGGTGACCCATACTCAGAACTGATGGTATGTAGGAAAGTGTCAATTTATATTCAGGAGATAGGTTGGAGAGGGGTAAGGAGTGAACGTTAGGTGAGGATAGACCCCACAGTGAAAGAAGAGCCGCTGAACAGACAAAGGAGTGGATAACAATCTGGCTAGGAGTGTGAATAGCTGTTAATGAGGACTGTTAGTTTCTAACAACAGATAGCGTGTAATGGCAGACTACTGTTGAGAAGGCCTGATGTGTGGGGTTGGGGGCTAGAACATGGGACAGTTCAGGCCCTAAAATTACTGAACTCGACATCGAGTCCGGAGGGCTGCAGAGTCCCCAAGCAGAAAATGAAGTGCTGTTCTTCAAGCTTGCGCTGAGTTTCACTTGAGCACTGCAGCAATCCTGAGACAGGGATGTTGGCCAGGGAACAGGGTGGTGTGTTAAAGTGGCAGACAACAAAAAGCTTGCTTTTTTTTTGTCAGCATAACATAGATGTTCTGCAAAGCAGTCACCCAGTGTACACTTTGTTTCCCCAATGTAGAGGAGACCACATTGTGAGCAGTGAATGCAATAGCCTAGATTGTGGGAAGTGCAGGTAAAATGCTGTTTCACCTGGAAGGTATATTTGGGCTTTTGGATAGTGAGGAAGGGGGAGGTAAATGGGCAAGTGTTACAGCTTTGGCGATTGCAGGGGGTGGTGCCGTGGGGCTGTTAAGGGGGTGGTTGGAGGGTTGTTGGCAGTGAATGAAGAGTGGATGAGAGTGTCCAGGAGGTAACAAAGGGAGGGGAGGGGGATTTGTGTCTAGTAGTGGCATCTCATTGGACATGGAGGAAATGGCGGCTGCTGATCTTCTGGATGTGGATGCTGGTGGGATAGTAGGTAAGGAAAAGGGGAACCCTACCGCTGTTGCGGGAGGGGAGACAGGAGGGGAGGGTGGAAGTGTGGGAGATGAGTCAGACCTGGCTGAGGGCTCTGTCAACAATGGTGCTGGGGAATCCTCGGTTGAGGAAGAATATGGACATTTCAGACGCTCCCTTCTCGAAGCTGGCCTATATCGGAACAGATGCAATGCAGACGGAGGAACTGGGAGGATGGATTGGAGTGTTTACAGGAAGTTGGGTGAGTAGATGTATCGTTCAGGTAACTGTGGAATAATTTTAGGGCCCGAACTCTCCCATGTCCCAGCCCCCTTCCCCACACATCAAGCCTTGTTATCACAGAGTCTGCCATCCATCGTTGGCCACTACCAGTCTCTATTAACAACCATTCATCCTCCTCGCCAGATCGTGATCCACTCCTTTATCTGTCCAATTGTTCTTCTCTCTTTTTGGGTTCTATCCCCACCTATCGTTTACTCCATATCCCTTCCTGTCACCCTACCTTCCACATACAAACCAACACATTCCGAGCTACTATCAGTTCTGAGGAAGGTTCACTGGACCTGAAACGTTAACTTTGATTTCTCTTCACAGATGCTGCCAGACCTGCTGAGGTTCTCCAGCATTTTCTGTTTTTGTTTCTGATTTACAGCATCCGCAGTTCTTTCAATTTTTATTTACCAGGAGGTTCTAAGTCAGGTCTGGCAGCCTACACCGGGTTTTTATAAAACCTCTCACTGACTCCATCTTTCTCCTGGTCTCCACTATCCCTCCCATCCCAACCTTTTCCATCACCTCCCTTCACACTCACTGAGGCAACACTGCACTTGCACAGTTCATGCTTACATGTTGTCATGCTAGCCTGCCCCTCATTCACTCCCATTGGCTGGATAACCAGCCAGTTGCTCCCGGTTACACCCACTCTCTTCCTATAGGTCCAGAGCTGCTATCAATCCGCCGGGTCCTACAGTGAGGTGGGAGGTGAGTGGCGGGAGCATCCCTCTTTCTGCCCTGATATGGGCTTCATGGTATCACAGAGCACAGAGGCTGTTCTTCCGGCTGCTTTTGGCAATGCTGCAAATCTGTCCCAACTTCCCTGCCATTTGCCCATAGCCCTCCAAATCTCTCTTCAAAAAGTTAAATTCCAAAGCTCTTTTGAGAATAACTGATCAATCAGCATCCAGCTTTCGTTCAGACAATTCCAGATGCTCAGAACTTACTGAATGAAATAATTTTCACATTTTCACCCCACATTATTTGCCAATTACCTGAAAGTGGTTACTAAAAGTTGTGACTATGTTAATAATTTCTCTTTCTGTCTCTCTCTGCAAATTAAATATCCTGGAAACAAAACTGCACCTGGACTAAATCACTACTTAACCTTCGGAGCTCCAAGGAGAATTATCTGAGCTTCTGCTTCCTATCCACAAAAGAGAAACTCATCTTAATTTTAATTTATTACAGTCACAGAGATGTCCAGCATAGAAACAGACCCTTTGGTCCAACTTGTCCAGGCCAACTTGGTATCCTAAATTAATGTAATCCCATTTGCCAGCGTTTGGCCTATATCGCTCTAAACCCTTTCTATTCATGTACCCAACCAGATGCCTCGACTTATTCTGTACATGTACAACGCTCATCTTGAAAACCTTGCCCTTTTGATCACTTTTTTTTTCCCTCTTACTTTAAACCTACGCCCTCTAGTTTTGGACTCACCTAACCTGGGAAAAATAAAAAAAACCTGGTTGTTTATCCTATCTATGCCCCTCATGATTTTATAAAACTTCCATAAAGGTCACCCCTCAGGCTTTGACGTTCCAGGGAAAATAGCCCCAGTCTATTCAGCCTCTCCCTATAGCTCAAACACTCCAAACCTGGCAACATCATTGTGAATCTTTCCTATACCCTTTCAACTTTAACAACATTTTTCCTATAGCAGGAAACCAGAAGTGGCTAAACAATGTCCTGTACAGCCGCAATATGACATTGCAACTCCTATACTCAACGCACTGACCAACATAGGCAAGCGTACCAAACGCCTTCTTCACTGCCCTATCTACCTGCGACTTCACTTTCAAGGAACAGTGAACCTGCTCCTCAAGGTCTCTTTGTTCAGCAACACTCCCCAGGATCTTAAGTGTATAAGTCCTGCCCTGATTTGCCTTTCCAAAATGCAGCACCTCACATTTATCTAAATTAAACCCCATCTGCCACACCTCGGCCCATTTGATCAAGGTCCCATTGTACTCTGAGGTAACCTTCTTTGCCGTCCACTACAGCTCCAATTTTGGTGTCTTCTGTGAACTTACTATCCATACCTCCTTTATACATATCTAAATCATTTATATAAGTGATAAAGCAGCAGATCCAGTATCAAACCTTGCAGCACACCACTGCTCACAGGCCTCCAGTCAGAAAAGCAATCCTCCACCACTACCCTCTGTCTCCTACCTTCAAGCGAATTTTGTATCCAAATGGCTAGTTCTCCCTGTATTCCTTGTTGTCTAACCTTGCTAACTTGTCTATTATGTGGAACCTTGTTCAATGTCTTTCTGAAGTCCACATAGGCAATGTCCACAGCTCTGCCTTCATCAGTCTTCTTTGTCACTTCTTCAAAAAACTCAATCAAGTTAGTGAGGCATGATTTCCAACCATTCCTTGCCTTTCCAAATACATGTAAATCCTGTACCTCAGAATCCCTTCCAACAACTTGCCCGCCAATGACTTCCGGCTCTCCGGTCTGTTGTTCCCTGTCCTTTCCTCACCACCCTTCCTAAATAATTGCACCCGCTTTCCAGCACTTCACTTGTGGCTATTGCTGATACAAATATATCAGCAAGGGGCCCAGCAATCACTTACCTAGCTTTCCACAAAGTTCTGGAATGGACCTGATCAGGTCCCAGGGATTTATCCACTTTTATGCAATTTAAGACATCCAGTACCTTCTCCTCCTCTGAAATATAGACACTTTCAAGTTCTCACTATTTATTTCTCCAAATTCTCTAGCTTCCCTACCTTTCTCCAGTAAATTCTGACATGAAATACTCACATAGTATCTCTCCCACCTCCTGCAGTTCCATAGATGGGCTTGTTGATCTTTTAGGGGTCCTATTCGCTCCTAGTTACTCTTTTATCTTTGATGTATATGTAGAATCTCTTTGGATTCTCCTTAAACCTATTCCCAAAGCTATCTCATGTCCCCTTTATGCCCTTCTGATTTCCCTCTTGAGTATACTCCTAATGCACTTATACTCCTCCAGGGATTCACTCGAACCCAGCTGCCTATACCTGGCATATGCCTTCTCCATTTTCTTGACCAGTGCCTCCATTTCTCGAGTCATCTAGCATTCTCTACACCCAACAGCCTTGCCTTTAACAGGAACATACTGTCTCTGTACTCTCGTTGCCTCATTTTTGAAGGCCTGTGCTGGCAATGGCAGGTGAAGACATAGAAACGATCATTATCACTAAAGAGGTAGTATTAGGCAGCTAACGGTTCTAGGTAGACATGTCTCTTGGCCCTGATTGAATGCATCCCAGGGAACTAAAAAAGATAGCGGGGCAAATAGCAAATGTGCTCGTGACAATTCACTAAAAATTTGCTGGATTCTGGGACGGTTCCGGCAGATTGGAAAACAACAAATGTGATGCCACTATTTAAAAGAAAAGGAGGTGGACAATAGGTGGGTAACCATAGACCCATTAGCTTTACTTCTGTAGTGGGGAAACTGCTTGAATCTATCAAAGATAAAACAGCGAGACATCTGGATAGAAATTGTCCCAACCAGCAGACACAGCATGTAGTCATGAAAGGCAAGTCATGTTTAACTACTTTACTGGAATTCTTTGAGGATCTTACAAGCACAATGGACAATGGGGAACCAGTGGATGTGGTGTATCTGGATTTCCAGAAGTCATTTGACAAGTTGCCACACCAAAGGCTGCTCCAGAAGATAAGGATGCATGGCATTACGGGTAACGTATTAGCATGGATAGGGAATTGGTTAACTAACAGGAAGCAAAGTGTGGGGATAAATGGGTGTTTGGATTAGTGTTTGGACTGCAATTGTTTACAATTTACCCAGATGATTTGGAGTTGGGGAACAAGTGTAGTGTGTCATAGTTTGCAGATGACACTAAGATAAGATGTAGAGCAAAGTGTGCAGAGGCCACTGTAAGTGTGTAGAGGGATACAGATAGGTTAAGTGAGTGGGCAAGGGTCTGGCAGATGAAGTACAGTGTTGGTAAATGTGAGGTCATCCATTTTGGTAGGAATAACAGGAATCTGGACTCATCGTAATGGCGAAAAATTGGTGCATCCTGCTGTGCAGGAGGACCTGGGAGTCCTTATGCATGAATCACAAAATAGTTGGCTTGCAGGTGCAGCAAGTAATTAAGATGGTGCAAGGAATGTTATGCTTCATTGTTAGAGGGATGGGGTTTAAAAACAAGGAGATTATGTTGCAGCTATATAGGGTTCTGGTGAGGTTATGCCTGGAGTATTGCGTGCAGTTTTAGTCTCTTTACTTCAGCAAGGATGTTGGCACTGGAGGGAGTGCAAAGGAGGTTTACTGGTTTGATTCTGGAGTTGTGAGGGTTGGCTTATGAGAAAAGATTGAGTAGACTGGTACCACACTCGTCAGAATTTAGAAGAATTGTGTGGGGGCGTCTTACAGAGAAATATAAAATTATGAATGGAATAGATAGGATAGAAGCAGGGAGGTTGTTTCCACTGGCGGGTGAACGAGACAGCATAGCCTTAAAATAAGGGGGAGCGGATTTAGGACTGAGTTGAGGAGGAACTTCTTCAGCTAAAGGATTGTGAGTTTGTGGAATTCCCTACCGAGTGAAGCAATTGAGGCGACGTTCTTGAATGTTTTTAAGGCAAAGGTAGATTTTTGAGCAGTAAAGGAATTAAGGATTATGATGGGCGGGCAGGAAGGTGCAACTGAGTCCATGAAAAGATCAGCCATGATCTTATTGAATGGCGGAGCAAGTTCAACGGGCCAGATGGCCTACTCTTGCTCTTATTTCTTATGTTCCCACTTTCCAGCCATCCCTTTACCTGTGAATAGCTCCCCCCAATCAAACTTTTAAAGTTCTTGCCGTGTACTGTCAAAATTAGCCTTAGTCGAATTTAGAACTTTAACTTTTAGATATGGTCTATTCTTTTCCATAACTATTTTTAAACTAATAGAATCATAGAATCCCTACAGCATGGAAGCAGGCCATTTGGCCCATCAAATCCGCACCGACCCTCTGCAGAGCTTCCTACCCTAGCCCTGTAACGCTGCATTTCCCATGGCCAATCCACCTTGCCTGCACATCCCTGGACACTATGGGCAATCCATCCAACCTGCACATCTTTGGAGTGTGGGAGGAAACCGGAGCACCTGGAGGAAACCCACGCAGATACAGGGAGAATTTGCAAACTCCACATGGAGTGTGGAAGGCTGGAGTCAACAACAGCAGAATTGTATTCCAGCACAATCTGTAATCTCATGACCCGGTACATCCCGCACTTAACCATTAATATCAATCCAGGGGATAAGCGCTGGTTGAATGGATAGTACAGGAGGGCATGCCAGGAGCAGCACCAAACACACCAACAAATGAGGTGCCAACCTGATAAAGTTACTAAACAGGACCACCTGCATGCCAAACAGCATAAACAGCAAGAGACAGAGCTAAGCGATCCCACAACCAACAGACCACATCTAAGCTCTGCAGTTCTGCTACACCCAGTCGTGAGTGGTGATGGACAATTAAACAACTCACTGGAAAATACACCACAAAAATCACCACCTTTACTGGAGAAGCCCAACACATTCACACAAAAGACAAGAATACAGCACTTGGAGCAATCTCCAGCCACAAGTGTCAAGTGGATGATCCATCTCCAGGCTTCTCTCGAGGTCACCAACATCACAGATACAAGTTTCCAGCCAATTTGATTCATTTCACATAATATCAAGAAATGAACTCATAGTGCAAAGGCTACAGGCCCTGCCAACCTTCTGGCAATAGTACTGATGACTTGTGCTCCAGAACCTGCCACCCGCCAAGCCAAGCTGTTCCAGTACCTCTACGGCACAGACATCTACCGACAATGGAGAACATCGCCCGGGTATGTTCAGCACAAAAACACAGAATAAATACAACCCGGCCAATTTCCCCTCCATCAGTTTACTTTTGATCATGAAAGTAAATGAAAAGTGTCATCAACAGTGCTATCCAGCAGCAGCTGCTCAGCAATAACCTGCTCAGCGACATTCAGCTTCGATTCCACAAGGACCACTCAGTTCTTGGCTTTATTACACACTTCATTCACAAATTGACAAACAGCTGAATTCCAGGGGGTGAGGTGAGAGTGACTGCCATGTTCCGCACCAAGATCACCTATTTCCGCTTGTGTGACATCACCCGATTCCACCTTAGTCTCATCCAATCCTGTGTTACCACTGGACTTAACTGTCCAAACACACTCCCAGCCGGCCTCCTACGTTCAATTTCCCTATAATCTGAAAAACATCTAAAACTCTGCTGCCCACATATTCACTTGTACCAAAACTTGATCCCCCATCAAAAGGCATCTATTTATAAACAACATTTTAAAATTTGTACACTTGATTTAATTCCTGGTTGTGATCATCCTTATCTCCCTGTACCACACAACGTTTGAGAGTTCAACAACAGATTTTGTTTCAGACTCCAACAATGCGTTTTTTCATTGCTTCATGACAAGTAGCTGTTTCTATAGTTGCCAAGGCAACAATACAATTACCATCCGAAACCTCTCAGGTCTGCTTTCCACCTTTAAGACATTCCTGAAAACCTACTTATTTGGTAATGATTTTGGTCACCTGTCTTAATATCTCCATCTGTGGCCTCACGTCAAAAGTTCCTTGAGAATATTTTTGTCAAATTATACACGTGATAAAAAATACAAACCGTTATTGATTTGGACATTTCATAAACTTTTCACTGTCGCTGGGTGAATGTAACTTCTTACCTAAAAGCATTGTGGAAGGACCATCACAATACAAACTGCAGCAGTAGAAGGAAGTCGAACATCATCTTTGCCTCAGGCATCAGGGGTCTTGCCAATGATTGCTCGTATCTGTGGAGGAAGAAACAGTTGATATTTTAGGGAGTGCAAAATGAATTACAGAGAATGAAAATGGTACAGAACTTGGTCAGAAATAGAAGGGAAATAGACTCTCTCGCTGGAAAAAGAATTCCCGACTGTGAAAGATATTGTGGAAAATGAATCTGGTGATACAGCAGCACAAGATCTGTGAAAGGAACAGTAAAATACTAAACAGAGACAAAAGATACTCATTATTAGAGAGTTAGATATTGACAAAAAGGTGATCCAGGAGCACAGAGGTGAATTAGAGCAGTGTTGGCTGTTATGATCCTACGGCCGAGGAAACAAATCCAGAAGAAACAAACATTTCCATTGGTTTCAATTAGCTCTGTTTAAATCCTCCCCTTGCACTGTCCGCCAAGGAAGGCTGCGCATGTGTCCCGCTGCAGCTCGCCCCCTACAAAGTTGGCGGCTGCGCATGCGTCCCGCTGATCATTGCCGCCACTAAAAATGGCGGCGGTCAGTCGGGCCTGTTACCGTCTGAAGCATTTATTCGTTTTCTGCAAACAGAGGCCTAGGGAGTTTCATATTTGTGTTTTCTGACGTGTACCATGTGTTTGTAAAACTTCCAAGCTCATAAGAACATAATTTTTCTGCCGTTTAACTTTCTTTACCGTGTCCTCCTCTTGCCTCAATTGCGCAAACGTTGATCTCAGCGAGTCTGCACTGCCCGCGTGATTGATCACGTGGTTTACACTGGTCCTGCCCCTTGTTTACTCCGATTGGTTGGAGGAGCAGCTGCTCCGCTCGCGCCGCCCCTGTGCTCCTATTGGTCCCGCGCTGATATCAATCACCCGGGTCCCCGAACGGAAACTGGAGCATGTGGAGTGCTTCTTGTTGTCATTAGAATCTTGCATTTTCAGTCCAGGAGAGAAACGAAACTTAGAACTACATTGAGAAGATGTACACTAGAGACGCTGGGATTTTAATAAGCTTGAAAGGGCTTCCTGCAGCTAAAAGCCAAAGATAGCTCTTGATACTGCTCTTTCAGCGAAGAGAGGAATGTTGGTGAAATAAGTGTAATAAATACAGGCATAGCAGTCCTCAGGTAAGATGTCACAAGGTTGTCATAAAACAATATTTGATACCAGGCACTTATGGACGTATTAGGACAAGTGACCAAAAACTGGCCAAAGAGGAAGGTTTTGAGGAGTATCCTGAACAAACAAAGGGACTTTGAAAATCAGGGATATTTAGGGAGTAACTTCAAGATCTTATGGCCATGGAAACTGAAAGCATTAAAAAGGTGGGAGAGTTAAAATCAGAAATCCACAGGAGGTTGGAAGTCAGGGAGAACAAATATCTCAAAGGAAAAACCAAAAGAACTGTGGATGCTTGAAATTAGTAACACAAACAGAAATTGATGAAAAACTCAGCATGTCTGGCAGTGCCTTTGGACAGAAAGCAGAATTATCGTTTTGGGTCATGTGACCTTTCTTCAGCTACATCTCAGAGGCTTTTGAATTTGGAGGGATTATCGAAAGGAGGTGTGATGGCAAAATTTCAAAATAAGGATATGAATTTCAATACCTTGGTGCTTTGCCATCCAGAAAATGTGTATGTTAGTGAGCATAGGATGGAAAAGCAGCAAGATATTGAAATGGTGAGAGTAAACACATGAGCATCAGATTTTTGGATGACCTCAAGATTATAGGGAAGTGGAACATAGGAAGCCGGCTCGGAGTGTGTTTGGGGAGTTTAATCAAGAGGTATCAAAGGAACGGATGAGATTTTCAGCAGCAGATGAACTGAGATGTTACTGAGGTTGAAATGTATGTGGTCTTTTTGATAATGGGGTGTGGGGGTGTGTAATGTGGTTGGAAATTCACATGGGGTGAAATATTGCACGATATTTGTGAGCAGTGTTGTTCAGCCTCAGCCAGTTTCCAGGGAGAGGGATGAAGTCAGTGGTGAAGGAGTGGAGTTTGGTTCCCAGCCTGGGATTGACATGTAGCATTGTCTGTTTAAATGTGATATACACCCCTTTCGAAGCAGGAGCGGACTTGCAGCAGAGCTGAGTTGTAAACCAATGATCAGCTTTATTGAGACAAAGTGTGGAGATGTTTTTCTGTTGTTAAGCAAACTGCAGTGACAAACTCAGAAAGCTATTTCGAGTTGAATGTGGGTTATACTGTGTATGTCAATAACTAGACAGTGGAGCTCTTAAAGGACATATTGTAGGTTTTGCAGCCTTGGCCTTCAAACTTTTTCTCTGTCTTTACCTTTTATCTTCTGATTCTAGTTGCTTTCCATTGTACCGCTCATTTCTATCTCCATCCCAAAATCCACAAACCTGACGGCACTGGTCGAACCGTTGTCTCCACTTGAGCCTGCCCCACCGAACTTATCTCCACTTATCTTAACTCCATTTTCTCCCCCTTGGTCCAGGAACTCCCCACCTATGTCCGTGAAACCACTCACGCCCTCCACCTCCTCCAAAACTTCTGATTCCCTGGTCCCCAACACTTCATCTTTACCATGGATGTCCAGTCCTTATACACTTACATTCCACATGCAGATGGCCTAAAGGCCCTCAGCTTCTTCCTGTCCCGCGGGCCCGATCAGTCCCCATCCACTGATACCTTCATCTGCTTAGCTGAACTCATCCTCACTCTTAACAACTTCTCTTTCAATTCCTCCCACTTCCTACAGGCAAAGGGCGTGGCCATGTGTACCCATATGGGCCCAAGCTATGCCTACCTCTTTGTAGGGTATGTGAAACAATCCCTCTCCCGAAACTACATTGGCCCTATCCCCCACCTCTTCCTCCATTGCATCGATGACTGTATCGGCACCGCCTTGTGCTCCCACGAGGAGCTCGAATAGTTCATCCACTTCACCAACACCTTCCACCCCAACCTTAAGTTCACCTGGACCATCTCCGATACCTCTCTCTCCTTCCTGGACCTCTCTGTTTCCATCTCTGGCAACCACCTGGAAACCGATGTCCTTTTCAAGCCTGCCGACTCCCACAGCTACCTAGAATACACCTCCTCTCACCCACCTTCCGTAAAAATGCCATCCCCTATTCCCAATTCCTTCGCCTCTGCCGCATCTGCTCGCGAGATGAAGCATTCCACTCCCAGACATCCCAGATGTCCTCGTTTTTCAAGGACCGCAACTTCCCCTCCACAGTGACCGCGCCTCTCGCACTACTCATCCCTCACACCCCCTCCCCGCAATAACAACCAAAATAGAATCCCCCTCATCCTCACGTACCACCCCACCAACCTCCGGATCCGACGCATTATCCTCCGGCACTTCTGCCACCTGCAATCTGACCCCGCTACCAAAGACATTTTTCCCTCCCCACCCTTATCTGCCTTCGGGAAGGTCCCCTCTCTCTGTGACTTCCTTGTCCGCTCCACATTCCCCACCAGCCCCACCACCCGCGGAATTTTTCCCTGCAACCGCAGGAGGTGCTACACCTGTCCCTTCACCTCCCCTGTCACCTCCATCCCAGTGCCCAAGAAAACCTTCCACATTAAACAGATGTTCACCTGCACATCTGCTAATGTAGTATACTGTATCCGTTGTTCCCGATGTGGCCTCCTCTCCATTGGGGAAACCAAGCGGAGGCTTGGAGACCGCTTTGTGGAACACCTATGCTCCGTTCGAGACAGACGACAAGACCTCCCAGTCGCAAACCACTTCACCTCCCACTCCCACTCCTTAGACAACATGTCCATCCTGGGCTTCCTGCAGTGCCACAACGATGCCACCCGAAAACTGGTGGAACAGCACCTTTAATTCCCCCAGTGAACACTACTACCCAATGGTCTCAATGTCGACTTTACAATCTTCAAAATCTCCCCACTCCTGACCTCATGCCAAGACCAGCCCTCCCTCTCGTCCCCGCCTACGTGACCTGTCCATCTTTGCTCCCACCTACCCGCCCCTCCCTCCTCACTGAGCAACCCCATCCCATCTCCCTCCCGACACTCACCTTTCCTGGTTTCATCCCCGCCTCCTTGACCTGTCCATCTTCTCTCTACCTATCTGCTCCACTATCTACCTTCTAACACCGCCTCCCCCTCCCTCTATTTATTTCAGAGCCCCCTTCCCCTCCCCCATTTCTGAAGAAGGGTCCAGACCCGAAACATCAGCTTTCCTGCTCCTCTGATGCTGCCTGGCCTGCTGTGTTCCTCCAGCTCCACACCTTGTTATCTCAGACTTCAGCATCGGCAGTTCCCACTGCCCCCATCACCATTTATGACTGGTTGTAGCAGGAATGTTGGTCTGTTGATCTTGCAATCATTTTATCCTTCTGTAATGCACTAGTTTTGCTGTTTGTGATGCAAGCAGTCGAATGCGGTATCTATAACAGGTTGGCATCAGTTTTAGGTTCACATGGTTCTGACCCCTGCATGTTTGCCTGCACTCGTCACTGAACCATTGATCAGCTTCATGGTAATCATAGAGTGAGGGATTATCCGGGACAAAAAGTCACAGATTCTGGTGGAATACAATTCTGCTTCTGCTGCTGCTGCTGTGGTACTTCACCACATGAATGCCCAGTTTTGAGCTGCAATGAGTGCAATGTAATTCAGCTGCCTGTCCCCCAGTTCTGACCGAGTCCCGGTCGCCCTTGTACGCAGTGACCTACTCTGTTTTCTGATGTGGTAACACTTCCATTTTAATATTCTCATTCTTCTGAGGTCTTTCCATGGTGTCACGCCTCCAATTTGTCACATTCCTCAAAACCCTTTAACATATTCATCTGAACCTTTTCCCTTCCAGTAGGGGCATCTTCAGGTGGCACGGTGGCTCAGTGGTTAGCACTGCTGTTTCATAGCACCTCGGATATAGGCTCGATTTCACCCTCAGCCGACTGTTTGTGTGGAGTTTTTACATTCGCACCGTGTCTGCATGGGTTTCCTCCTGGTAGTCCGGTTTCCACCCACAGTCCAAAGATGTGCAGGCTGGGTGAAATGGCCATGCTAAATTGCCCGTAGTGTTGAGGGATGTGTAGATTAGGTGGGTAATAGGGGCATCTGTCTGGATGGGATGCTCTGACAGTCGGTGTGGACTAGTTAGGCTGTAGGAATTGTTTCCACACTGTCGGAATTCTGTTTGCAAAGTGAATGTTTCTCTCCCTGACCATGATTAAGAGCTCTGTAGTGTCAGTGATGCCAGCCTTATGTAGTTTCAGAACCAATGAATTTGTACACCTTGCGCTGTCATTTACTTCTCAGTGTATGGTGATCAATGTTGGACAGGGCGTTTGAGCAGCTTTGGCACACATTTTTGGAATTTATTTGAAAACACAAATTGCTGAAGAAACTAAGCAGGTCTGGCAGCATCTGTAGAGCGAAAGCAAAGTTTAAGCTGTTGGATCCAGTGATGCCTTTTCAAAGCTTCCAGTTTCTCCAGCACTTTTTCTTTTTGTTTCAGATTTCCAGCATCCACGGTTCTTTGTTTAGTTGAAAATTCAGTTAGTACTGATTCATTTCTGGAGAAACTCAGCAGGTCTAGACGCATCTGTGGAGACAGAGAAACAGAGTTAAGGTTTCAAGTCCAGCGAGACCCTTCTTCAGAACTGAAGAGGATTGAAAAATGGTCTTTTTAATAACTTGGCAGAGGTGGAGGAGGGGTGACAGAAAACAGAGGGTGTGGGGGTGCAGTGCAAAAGACAAACGGTCTTTCAATGGTGGTGAAAGAGAAACAGATGTAAAATGGGAGTA